GATAGATAGATAGATTAGATAAATATAATGCAGATAATAGATAGAATAGATAGATAAAATAGATAGATAAGATAGATAGATAGATAGATGCCATATATGCATGAAAAGAAATTGGAATCCATATAAGCTATTTTTAGAGTTTTGTGAAACTGGGGTTTGTACTTTTCCACTGGTTATTGTGAATAGGATAATAACTATAATTAACAATAATAATAATAACAATAGGGTCATTTCAATGTATGGTTAAAAATAAGTTTTTCAGCTTCTGGCGGAAAAAGAAAAAAGGGAAAAAAAGAAACCCTGAACAATGCAGCTGAGTTTGAATCAGTCTAACACCCAGTGTAACACAACTCAGTGACCAGGAAGAAAGCAGAGCGGCTGGGGTGACGACAGACAGCCCATTGTAGGGAATAAGATCTTACTGTCGCCGAGAGAGTTAAGTTATGACTTTAATATGGCTGATGATAAGGGCCCGTTTCTGACATCATGTATTATTTTCTACCTATCGATCGGGGCCGCGATATTCCAGATCCTGGAAGAGCCAAACTGGAAATCAGCCAGAGACAGATATAAGCTACAGAAGGAGAACATTGTGAAGAACTACCCATGTCTGACGAAAGAAGGTCTGGAGGAGATTTTGGAGGTATGAATCTATTTGTCTTTGAATGTGTGGCAGGAAACCGCGGCTGGTGAGTGATAGGTTGTCCATGTAATCTCTTACTGCTGCCTGTTGTTACTGTAACTTTGCGCAGATTGACCAGCCAGCTCAAATGCTGCCCGTCAGTCCTCACAAAGCTATTAGATCAAAATGAATGAAAGCTGTATTAGACAGTATTTCTATAACCACAGTGAATTCGAGCTTATTTAACATGCACTGGAAGAGTTAAAGAGAAGTTCGTTACACTTATATATGGCGACTCAGAACCAGTTTTTCCTGCTTTTATGATCAGACGACAAACACAAAAGTTTTTAAGTTTTTAAGTTTATTCTTTGGTTAAATAACGATGTTCACAGCAGTGTCTGAATTAGACCCAAAAAAAGGTGCCAGTACCCTAGTTCAGCAGAACTCTAACCTTAACCCTAAACACACCGAAACCCGAACCCCTAATTGTTCTTGTCGTTTCTTCTAACAAACAAAGGACATATGCAGTGCTGTTGTTTTAGTGTTAATCTCTGTGTTTGCACTGGCGTTAGGACCTCACCAGCACTGTTGTAGGCAGAAATACCTCGGTCCAAAAACTGAACTTGCATTAAAGCATCAAAGTAGTTCTTTTTAGGCAGTTATTTCAACACTTCTCTCGTTTAAACCTCGGGAAAAATAAAGTCCACTCCTCAGCGGTGGTATATATGCACAAAGGAGGTGGCGGTACTCAATAATAAGTGTACTTGCGGACAAAAAACAGAAGTACAGATGAGTGCTGGTCCATTGTATTCACTGGTTCACAGTCTTATTTGTTATAGCACATGAAAGCTGGAAGCATTCACGATCCAAACATCGTGTGCTGAGCGTGGAGGTGCATGTCTGCTCAAGCCGCAACTATTTCAGTGTTTGCCCAAGGTGTGTCTGCTGTAATGGCTGCCTCACTTGTGACTTTGATGTACATTTTCAAGTGGTGATACGCAGTTTAAATGCTGTTTGCTGTCAGTGTCATTAAGGGGAAGCAGGGCGTGATTGGGTTGCGTTGAGATTTATGTACTGTTTTTTCACCCAGATAGTGTCAGAGGCCGCGGGCCAAGGTGTGGCCATCACCGGAGAGATCCATCGCAACACGTGGGACTGGACCAACTCTGTCATCTTTGCTTCCACCATTGTCACCACTATAGGTTTGTATTAGATCTACAGTATCAGGCACCCATAATCCTCCTTAATGATATTATTCTGTCTGGTCCACTTCTTTGAGGAAGAGCTCTGGCTTCAGAAATGTTGTACTGCTGCTGGTTATGAGTTTATTGACCATTTTGATTCATTCTGGAAGAGAGAGCATTTACTTAGATGGTATGGTATATACCTAAACAGACATGGGATGAAGCAGTTTGTGTCAAATGTGAGGAAATCTCCGCCTATTTTATCTGACTTTTTCTGCAGGCCCCTATCCCAGTTAGTCCCTCAGCTGTTCATATGCTCATCAACAACCAATCCAGACTGCCCAGGGCTAAGTTATATTACATTACACGTTACATTTTATTTATGTAGTCTGGTGATTATATTGTCGGGAATGATTTTGAGTTTTTTTTCCTGATCACCGAACCCTGGCTGACGCAGGATAATATAGTTCCCCTAGTTGAATCAGCCCAAATGAACTGTCTTTTTCTGTATTTATACCCCTCTTTATTTATTATCTCAGGCATTTCAGTTTACAGACCTTCTGCATTCTGATTTACAGACAAGCCAAGTCCACAACTGGTTCATCACAGAATTCTCAAAACTCAAATAAATTTGACAATATTCTGGTTCTGGCAGATTTTTCAATTTACAAGAATCTGAAAATTGTCATTCATGCATTTATTACATCCCATTTAGACTACTTTAATTCACTCTACTTGTGCTTAAGCAAACACAACCTCTCCAGACTTCAGTTAATTCATAATGCAGCTGCTAGACTCCTCGCCATTTTCGAACACAATTTTAACTTCATTACACTGGCTGGCCTATGCTTTTTAGAATCAATTTTATGATTTTAATTATCACTTTTTAAGGACTGGCCACTGATTATATCAATGCCTGTCTAATGCCATATGAGTCTAAGTGTAGCCTGAGATCCTCCAATGGTTCCTTTTAGAGATTCCAAGATCTAGATTGAAAAGCACGGGCGACTGGGCTTTTGCTATCAGTGCCCCGTCGTTCTTGAATGACACACACATCTCTTCTAAATCTTTTTTAAAAAGAGGCCTTTTCAAAAGTGTGTTTACTTAATTCCTTGATGTGTATGTCCAATAATCTATTCTGTTGTTTTATCTTATGCTTTGTACTTTTGTTATTTTAATGCTGTTGTTTTAGTGTCATTTTATTGAATTTTGCTGTTGTAAAGCTCTTTGTAACTTTTGAAATGTGCTATACAAACAAAATGTGTTATCATTATTATTATTAGTAGTAGTATTAGTAGTAGTAGTAGTAGTAGTAGTAGTAGTACTTTGTGATAAGAAAAATAATTTATTAATACATTAGTCATTAAGAACAAAAAAAACCCTTAAACCCTGATTAATGAATAACTTAGTGCACATTTGATGACCTTCAATAATAACAGATAATAAATAATAATCTTAAAAAGACAAAGCACGTAATAGAGGAAGCTACACAGTAACCAACTGTTTTCCAAGTTTTATCCTTACTGCTAAATGATTCATAAATGACTTATTAACCAACAATGAAGCCAATATTTACAGTGTATTAACCTTTATAAAACGTTCCTTATATCTCTCAGTGTTGTGCAATAATATTTCCTCTTTTTTTTACCTACAGGTTTTGGTAATGTTGCTCCCAAGACTAAAGGTGGTCGTGTGTTCTGCATCATGTACGGTCTGTGTGGGATCCCCCTATGTCTGGTGTGGCTAAGTGAGCTTGGTTCATTCTTTGGAGACCGGGCCAAACGTCTGTCCCAGGTTCTGATCCGTAAAGGCATGTCAGTGGTAAGATGGTCTGATTGGAAGCAGGAGTTAGTCTGAATAATGTAATAAAAGGCAGCTCCATCAAGTTATTTTAATATGATGTGATTCTTTGCTGCCTTCTGTCAGAAAAAGGTCCAGTTAACCTGTACAGCATTGTTCCTGTTATGGGGGCTGTTGGTGCACCTGGTGATCCCTCCAATTGTTTTCATGTCTGTGGAAGGATGGACCTACCTGGAAGGCCTTTATTACTCTTTCATCACACTCACAACGGTTGGTTTTGGAGATTATGTCGCAGGTAGGTTTGATTTATGACATAATGTCACGAATTTTATCTAAGGTTAATGTGTCCATGAAGTCATTTGTGGGTCTGAACTTTCCTTGTCCTTTGATATAAAACTCATACCGGTTTATTGACTCTCGTTTCAGGTGTAAATCCAAACATTGAATACCCCAGACTGTACAGAGTGTTTGCAGAGATATGGATCTACATGGGCCTGGCCTGGCTGTCTCTGTTCTTCAGCTGGAACGTCCACATGGTGGTGGAAGCTCACAAGGTGTTAAAGAAAAGAAGACACAGGCACAGACGCTTCTATAATGAAGAACCCCAGCCTGTAAAGAACAACCAAAATGTAAAGCCGACCGTTATTGACATTTTCGACTTCCCGAAGGACGAAGACTACAGCACTGTCATCAAAATGATTGGAACCACAGCCAACCGGAAAAAGCCTGCAGACAACATAAATCGCTCAAAGAGCTGCAGCGACATCTTGGCCATCCAGACCCTGGAACACTCGCCCCGGCACAGACGCATGATCAGTGTCAGTGAAGTGTTCATGAATGCAATAGCTGTCGCGGACAAAGATGAACAAAAAGGGGAGTGTTCTCTAATACAAGAAAGCAACCAAGGCTCTGAACCTGCAGAATTTGTGAGGACTGATAATGAGGACAAGGACAGTTGTGCATTTGATTCAGAAACTAATGGTATTTTCTTCACTGTGCCTACCAAAGATGCTACAGAAGAGGAAAGTGTACAGCATCCTGATGGCGGAGGGACAAGGTTTACAATATCCAAGGTAGTAGAGGAAGAAGATTTGAATAAAGATGAAAAAGGGTAAAGATCGTTTCTAAAACTTCCTAAAGATCGTTTCTAAAACTTCCTTTACCTTTGCCAAAAATTGTAGAATCAGCCAGGCTTTTATTTTTTGTATTGTATGTAAATACTGTATGTATCAAGAATTCATTTTGTGAAAATGATACTAAATAACTCGATACAAACTTAAGCTGCCCTGTTAAGACGGTTTCTTACTTTACAGTGCCATTATTTGAATCAACTATTCAATTATTAACCGCACACAGTGAGCCAGTGTATGTGTCAGGTATCTAGCAAGATTACATTTTTTTCATCCCATAGCCATCCAAAGTTTTTATTACAACATTTTCTGTTCTTACACAGTAGTGATCAAAGACACAGAATACACAGATTATTTCAAATCACAGTACAGGGCTTTGTGGAAAACGGTGCCAATGAGCAACTTTCCCTCATAGGGAGCTGCTATAGAGGAGCCCATGATCACACGGCCATTATCAACATACTCCTGGGTCACCAAAGGCTGCTCTGAGTGAATGTTCTTGATCTTGATGATCTGGAGGAAACATGAATAAATGTATCAGGCAAATTCAAATAACTGTGTTGATATATTATTTCATTATAAACACTAACCTCAGAGCCAGGTGGATCTTCAGGGTCATACTGTGACAACTTCATGCCATTTGGGTGACAACCCAGCCAAATGTCACCGGTCTTATGGTCCACGTCGATGTTATCACAGAGTGACCCAACAGCTACAGACTGGTTGGAAACATTACATATAGTGAGTAGAGATTAAAACATGTATACATATTGTTTTTAGGCTTAAGTTGCAAAAGAGCACAGCAATAGTGATGTTTTAAAAAATTGTTTATAACTATGGGAAATGTGCTTATTTGCCTTCTTGCCAGACAGAAACAGCTAGCTCGGCTCTGTCCAAATGTAACAGAATCCACCTACCAACACCTCTAAAGGTCAGTAATTATAGGACCAGTGTGTAGGATTTAGTGGCATCTAGCGCTGAGATTGCAGAATGCAGCCAACTGAAAACCCCTCAACTCAACAAAGCACAAAGTAGCGAAATGCCTTATCTACAGCCAGGGTTTGGTTTGTCCATGGCGGACTCAATAGAAGAAGACCCGCTCCCTCTGTCGATATGATTCCTCATTTCAGGCAATTATACACTAATGAAACATAGCTTTGAATATATTCGGCTATATTTAATTTCTGCTATAGATTCTCCTAAATGTTACACACTGGACCTTCAACACATATCTTGTTTGTTTAATCAGTACAAAAACTTAATATGCTTTAATAAGCAGATAATAAGCTTTAATATGCATATTTCACAAAATGTCAAACTAGTCCTTTTTTTTTTTTGCTGAAGGAAGAAAGAAGACAACACTGCATTACCTTAAGATACACTAATTGTTCCCCTTCTTGTCTTTCAAAAACGTCTACCTCGTGGTCAATGATATCTGAGACATAGATATACCTGTAAAAAAAGACTATTCCTGAGTTATTATTTTATAATTACAAATGAAATATTAATTTGGAATTCCATTCAATAAAAAAACATTTGGAATAACCGTTTGCAAGGCGATATGTTGATGCCATTTGCAGACATGATACCATCGGCTGCCACCCGCACTTCCTTTGGACTGTAGTACACCACGTCACACCAGGGGAGACCCATCAAAACAGTCAGAAAGTTAAGTGCATCACTGGAGCAGGAGCGATAATTTGTGGCGTAGAAGTTTTCTACTCCGACTGCAACAATGTCATTTACACTGAAAGACATGAGGAATAAGATTAAAGACATACAGAGATGGTCAAATGTGTGATACCTTGAATGGTTTATTATACAGTATGTACCTGTGGAGTAGGGGGTGGGTGATAGTTTTTAGGTGCACAAGTGTGTTCTCCTGAACAAAATGAAAGATCTCTACTTGGCTTTTTTGCTCAGGGTGATTGACAACAAACAGGTACACAGAGTCATCTGCAAACAAACAGCAGTGTGTGGTCATTATTCTCCTCTTTTCTTTATAATATACACATTTTCTGACAGAGTTTGACCTGTGTCCTGGTATTACTGTCACACCATGGCAATTTTATGTTTTACTGAAAGTTGTAATCCTTAAGATTTCAGTCATGGCGGATTTGGCAACACTCATGGTTACTGCGGTTACCACTACAGGTCCCATAAAATGTCCTGACGCAACAGCAGTAGGAAATGCTGAGTTAGCTTTAGTAGGAAATTAAGACAGCTCTGATACGGCTGTAAGAGAGTGAACAGTTAACAGTGGGCCTGATATCAATGACATCAAACAGTAACCCCGGATTACATACTGCATACCTTTGAATCCCTTGCTGTACCGTGAAGAATTTTAACCCCTTGTGGGAATGGCGGATTGTGCCAGGACCAATACAAACTACTAAATTGCTGAATGTAAATACATATTAAAAAAATGAAGACCATAAATAATACCAACATAAAATATGTATCTCTTATTTTTATTGTTAAAATAAATATATCAAGAAGAGCTAATCCACCATTAATAAAAGAGTTTTTCCAGTGATTCACTCCCTAAAAATAACATCTCTGGGGCAGCAGATTAACATCCATTCAAAACCACTTTACGTTTTATCTTGGCAAAATAAAATTGCACAATCTGAAAATAAATATAAGGGTCCTCCAAAGTCTGGTAAGTAATATAAATAAAACCCAAATTCTTGCTAGCATTTACAGATGATTACAGGTCTCCTCTTTATATACATTTTTTCTATTTAATGAAAATATGTTGGGTTACCATATCACCAAGAATTTAGATATGAGTCAAAAGAATTCTTTGCCAGGTGCATTCCAGGAAAATCATGTCTTTTCTTCAACAGAACACAACAAGAAAATGGAACTTTATTTATCTTTTATACTATTTTGCCTTTTTTCAAGACTTTGCAGTATTAAAGTATATTCTTTAATCTAATATCTCTATATTGATTAATTTAAAGTAATATCCACAGTTCCTACTGTGGACTGAGAATGAATGTTTGTGAACATAGGCTATTGTAGGCTATTAAAATGTTGTTTAAACAGGGCTGCCTCTCACAATCTGATTTCCTAATTAAGTTGTTTAAATGTTGGTTAAAAAATGTTGATGGCCAACAACAACTGTTAATCTATTATTTAAATAATATATATTTTAGTTTCAGACTCTTCATACAACATCTTGCTTGTCACATGACTTGTGTAAAGGCTGAATTAAAAAACAAAATATTTTAATGAATTTGCATATTGTGTGAGGCTTTTGACTTTTTTTCATAATGTAGTTGTTGCAATACAAGGCAATATCCTCTTGATTCAAGATTTCTACAATATCAGATTCCTTTTCATATAACAGATTATGCGTGATCATTTCATGCACAGACTTTCATATCTTTGTACTATAGTTGTGATGTTGCACCTGACTTGTACTTGCATACCTGCTTCATCCATGTATACACTAATGCCATGAGGATTGAAAGAGTTGAGGTCCAGGTCTCCTTTGATTTGTAGCTCTACTGGAGTTGGCTTTGGGTGCAGCAGATCCAAAATGTACATTTTCCCTGGTTCATCAGAGAATGAAGGCAGTCCAGGAAACTTCAAGCCCTGAGTGGAAAACACTAAGATGTTGTGTGATTTTGCTTCAGCAGGGACATCGCACTTTTTCCTGAAGTTATGTCAACTATGACAAAAATGTTGATCCATAATTTAGCATAATGTAAAGGAATATTTGATGAACATTCATGCAGCTATGCAAAGATCTTAATAACATACTGTGCTCAGAAAGGCCAGTCCATCTTTAAGTATTGTGATGTCCTCTGCCCCATATTCTGTACACAACAAAATCAACACTTCAGTTCTTTAAGTGCACCACCCATTGACCCAAGCATTACCACATTCCACACCCTTGACCTATACTGCCACTAAACTGGACTTCAAACTCTTGGTGCATCACATTTTACATATAGATTGTCCAGAAACATGTTTAGATTACAGAACATTGGTGACAATGTAAATCACAAAGTTAAGACACTGACATGAACATACAGCCAAGAATGCCTACCAATATTGTTTAAATAGTGACAGTTGAGGTGTTTCACTGTCACTTCTCTGGTAGAAAGGCTGATTTCCCTGCAGAGAAAATTAAACATGACAAAGCACTTCATAGGAAACAAAACAAAACAAAAAAGCTGTCAACTAAACCTCTACTACACCACACCATTTACTATTAAAGAATAAAAATATAAATACTTACTTTAGTTTAAGAAATCTGTATCCAATTAAAGCTGCAAAGGCAGCAACAACAACAGCAGCAACAAGGACTTTATTCGCGGCTGCCATGTTTTTATGTCTAAGGTTACACAGGAACACATTCAGAGAGAATTTACATAGGTGCACCAGAGATGGCGCTAAAGTGTCTTTGTGTGAAAGAAGCAGGATTTTTTTCCAATGAAATAATTGTCATCCACATATGGACCATCTTCCTTTTTCTTTTTTCTTTTCTTAGATTTTTAATCAGTCAAGGCAGTATTTATTTAAGGATCTTAATCACACTCAATGTGTGTTAGCACACCTTAGAATAAAAATATTTAGGCCTAAAGAAGAAAAGAACAAAACAAAACATAATAAGCAATACAGACATAACTACAATTACTGCCTCACCTAGAGAATATGTTTACCTAGAAGTACAGAGGAATGATAGATTCATGACACGGTGCAACATCACCAGAAGCTCAATACAACACAACCAATGAGCTTGTGGTGTACTATAATGCCTCAAATATGGATGTTAACTAATTCTGTGTTGGCTTTACACACATCTTCAGCCGGGGCCAGCTTAGAAGATCTATCAAATCACTAGTTTCAAGGTCAAACTAAATTCTTCATCTAGAAAACTTTGTCTTTTTTGCATTTCAAAACCAAACAAATGGACTGTGTTATAAATTTGAGTGACTACAAATGAAAGTGAACATGTGGTAATGATGTATGTGAAACCTTTAATTATGTGGCTGTGGCGTCTCCCATCCAACAACAATTATTAAAGCACTGTCCATCAAGCATCCTTTAACATCCAGATTTGTATGCACGTTTTTTGTGTGCATTCATCTGTCCGCGGACATGCAGCTTTTTTGTGCATATTTGTTGAAGCACTAGACAAAGTTGAAACATGACTTTTATTTTATTTACATTCAAATACATGAAACAATGTGATTAACAATAGCAATTACCACATGTAAAAATATTCATTCACACACATGAATATGCATAGATTCAGCATTTTTCAGTCAAAATATATTCTTTTCATGATACACAGCAAAGCAATTATATGAACCTTTCACATTTGATTGAAAATACTGTTTTACAACTACTTCAGTCATTTCTGTGTCGGACACCATTTTGTAATACGCTGTTGTACCCAGGGCTCATTGCTACAAAATCAGGTGAACGTCATCCACCGATCTTTCTTTGCCTAGTACAACAGGTTAAAATATCACTTCACCTCTTTGCAAGACTCTCAATTAGACAGCGAACAGATTGAGAGCCTTGCAAAGTGGTCAGTTTCCTTTTTTTTTTTACTGAAATTTTAATTATTTTCTTTTAAACTCTTCTGCTTAAATGCCATGTTTTTTTGTAGCTCTACTGGAGTTGGCGTCGGGTGCAGCAGTCCAAGACTCATTGCCTACTTTAAATCACAGCACACAGCTTTATGGAACACAGTACCAATGAGCAACTTCCCCCCATAAGTAGCCGCTACCGAGGAGCCCATGATCACATCGCCGTTGTCAGCGTACACCTGAGTCACCACTGGCTGATCAGAGTGAATGTTCTGGATGTGGATGACCTGAAGAAAACATAATCATGAAAAGGAAGGAATTATAAGGAGATAAACAAAAGCATAAGTTTATATATCAGCTGTTTAGGTAAGCAGAAGATAGCAGATACAGCAACATATATATTTAGATATTTAGTCTGTTTTTGTAATGTTGTCTCTCACAATTTACTATCTGGTTAAAAGTGAATAGACAAACCTCTGATCCAGGTGGGTCCTTGAGGTCAAACATGAATAATTTCCATCCATTAGGGTGACAGCCCAACCACAGGTCACCGGTTTCAGGCTCAACTTCGACGTTGTCACAGAGTGAGCCCACAGCCACAGACTGGTGAGGTGTCATACACAAGGTTAAAATCATACATTCATCATGGCGTCTTTATTACCTTAAAGGACAATTCTAGTGTCATCTGACTTTGTACTGGTTTCCCCTTCCTGTTTAGCAGAAGCGTACATTGGTTTTGTAGCGCTTTAAATCACATTACATGAAAATGATTTGCTATTGGCAGCTACTCTTATCTAAATCCATGTAACTCAACTTTAAGTTACTTCCAGCAAATTAGTAACTGTTGGTTTTATAGCAATAGCCTTTACCAACTGCATCTGACAAATGTCCTGCATCACACTGTGACAATTAACATGCTGGAAATTTCCTTTAAAGGACACTTTTTTGCATTCAAATTCTGTATTTATTCTGAAATTAATGTCAACCAGAGCTGGGTAATAAGTCAGCCTTAGTATGTGTTGACTTTAAGGGGAATCATACAAATATCATATGATCATATTGTGTTATTGTTTAACACAAAATTCAGATGTTTAAATAAATCATTCCCATGCATTTGTATTTAAATCGATAAATACATTTTAAAGTGTCCACTATAGTGGAACAAAGGGAACTGAAATTAACATCAATTACATCATTCGACATTTAATTTTGCTTACATATGCCACACTGTCATATCAATATCATATCTGTCAATTTAACTCACACTAATGTCATCAGATTAAGAAATACTGTCGAATAATAGTACAATAATAACAAAATATTTAATTATTACAGCTGATGAAGCATACTCATTTATCAGTGGGAAAACTGATTCGTTTTCATTTATTTACCTTCACAGAGACTAATGTATTGTCTTCTTTCCGCTCCAGCACATGTACGTTGTGACCAAACATATCTACAACATATATATGCCTACAAACGAGAAAGAATATCAAAATGAAGAAACTCAAGACATTGAGCATGGATGACCATATACTTGTACATCTTTCTTACCTTTTGTCTGGTGAGATATTGATGCCATTTGCAAAGTAATATCCCTCAGAGACCACTTTGACTTCCTCGGGACCGTAGTAAACAACATTAGTCCAAGGCTGAGCCAGCAGAGCTTCCACAAGTACTGTAGGGATTCCATAAGTGAAGTAGTGATCGTTGGTTGCATAGAAGCTTTCAACTCCCACTGCGACAATATCATTCACACTGGAAAATAGATCAGAATTGAAAAAATGTTTGCAGGTAGACTACATCTCCCTACATCTCCCTACTCAGTAAATCTCAAGTGCAGTTCATTGAAGCTACAGTTTAAATTGATCACCACACTGTACCTGTGGAGAAGTTCATGTTTGATGGTTTTCAGATGCGCCAGGGAGAGGTTGTCCTCGTCAAATTTAAACACCTCTACTTGGCTTTTTTGGTCAGGATGATTGACAACAAACAGGTATATTGTGTCATCTGAGAAGAAACAAGGTAAGCATTGTAAAATTAATACTGACAACCAAGCTGTGTGTGTGTGTGTGTGTGTGTGTGTGTGTGTGTGAAGGCATGAATGACTACAAATGTAAAAAAGAGAATTATCAAAGCCAAAATGAGAATTTACATCCGGTACATTCTGCAGTAGTTACACACGTTTAAGATTGTTACCCTGAACTGGTTAAGGATGCATCAGAATCTGTAGTTGATGATTTCCCTCAAAAAACCCAAATGACTTACTGTTTTTAGCACGGACATAATAAAAAAGGAAAGGCACTGGCTGCAGACATTATTTTATCTACACTGTGTTCAAATATACTGACACACCTAAGATAGTGTGACAATCTAAGCAAGTCCCATTGCACCCAAAGGGTACCCACTGTGATTATCATAACAGGTTTGTCCACATACTCAACGTGCACACACAGGCATAGTCTTCAGTAGTGACACAGTCAGGTGAGCTGAAAATAAAAGTATTTTTCTAACGCTACATGTATTTAAATATGTGCTATTAATGTATATCTGTAAATATAAATGTTGTTAAATGTGGATTCAACTGAAAAAAATAAACAGTAGAAAGGGTTTTTGCCCTTCAGGTGATCTCTTGTAGAGACTTGTGTGTGACATGCGTGCAACCACACATAGGTGGTAAGTGCTTTTACCACTTGGATCGGTGTATACACTGATGCCATGAGGGCTGAATGATTCCAGATCAAAGTTTCTTGGCATTCGAAGCTCCACTGGTTTCATCCGAGGATTTTGCATATCGAGGGTGAAGATCTTTGCAGCCACATCTGAGAAAGGCGTTCGAGGATACTTCAGACCCTTGACAAATATATTAAATTATACAGACTATAAAACACATTGCACAACCAATTATGACACAATACTTGAATTTTTTTTTTTTAAAGCAACCTTTGATCGGGGACAGTGGATACAAAAAGATCAGGCATTAGCTCATATTTGGTGGCGATAGTTATAGGAGTTTTTTTCTGCCGTTAAAGAGACGCTGGCCAAATACATGTGATCTGTAAAGTGGGATCAGGAAGGATTTTTGATCTTTGGAGACGATCAGAGGGGTTAAACAAACATTCATTTGAGGTTATATTGAGCACATCAATGACAGAGTTGCAACAATGAGTTGACTGACAATAAATTAATCGTTTTTAAGAAAAAAAAAGCACAAAAATCATTTTCAGTGTGGTCCAGTTTGTGACATTTAGTAAGATCTATTGGTAGAAATGAAATATAATATTCTTAAGTATGTTTTAATTAGTGTATAATCACTGTAATATAGGAATCTTTATGTTTTTGTTACCTTACAATGAGTCATTTATATCTACAGTTGCTGAGGGTCGCCTTCCATGGAGTCTGCTATGTTGAACCGTCATGTTTCTACAGTAGCCCAGAACGGACAATATAAATACTGGCTCTACATAAAGGCGTTTAGGTTTTTCCACGCGTTCCATGGCCACCGTAGTTCCTCCTTTGTGCTTGGAAGGGGAGGGTAAAGCGAGGGAGTTGCGATCTGCAATTACACTGCTAGGTACCACTAAATCCTACACACTGGACCAATAAGTCACTGTAAATGGAATATGTTGAATAACTGAATATTCTTTTTGTACTGTTGGCCAGACAAAAGACTGTTAAAAATGTGACCTCTGACTTTTTGGTATTAGATAGATAGATAGAATAGATAGATAGATAGATAGATAGATAGATAGAGCTTTATTTATCCCGAGGGAATTCAGTACCAGTAGCATACAAAACAACATTAAACATACATTAAAATAAATTTAAAATAAATTGACTTATAACACAGTAGCCACAGTAAGAGTGAAAACAGTAAGCAGTGCAAATGGAGGTAGAAACTGTCCGTTGGCTATTGTCCTCCTGCCTTGACTAAGAGTTTGTACAGTCTGATGGCCAGGGGACGAAAGACACTTGAAAAATAATATAACTTGCAGTTTGTGCACACTTGATGGCAAGGTTAGTGGGCAAAGATGATAACAAATGTAATTGACATCACTATTGTTTACAGGACAAAAACACAAAAGGTTTTTTTTTTTTTTTTTTGTTAGTTTTTTAAGTAAACAAAAACTTTCAACCATACTGTGGCTTTCAGAGAACATAAAGCCTATCAAACGTGTTGCATAAAATTCAATAA